TATCTACCTGAGTATTTTGACACTATTCCTGGTCTTACACCATCTACAACATCTACATTTCTACTATTGTCGTGACAATGAGGCGAACGCCCTATTCAAGACTTAAGCTTGCGTCAGTGACCAATTGCCTCTCGAACTACGTGTTCTTTACACAGTCTACACTAGTCCAGTAGGATTTCTGGTCTGTCCCTCGCTGACGCCCTGGGCCACTTTCATCATACAGTGCGCATCATACTTCTACCATGGCCGCCACGGTGCCGCCAAGACAGGTTCTATTGCCATGTCCCCTCCCACAGTGATATATCTCATCCCTTTCCCTCAAAGCTAGACCTGGGATGACTGAAAGCACTAACCGTATCAAGTGTATCTCCGAGAGCCCTCGACATGGGCTAGGAAGGGTCCAAACCAAAGAGAGAAAGCTTGCTGACTAGTTGGTTTCGGTGTAGCGGATGCTTACCATAATCTCCTATTCTTCTCTGAGCAAGTGAGTTCATATATGACAAATGCCTCCGCCGGTACGTGGTCGAAGACAAGACTAAGACTGTTCTTCTCAGATGCGTCTCTACGACTGACCCTACACATCTCCAACTAACTGATACACCCTTCTTTAGTCATCCGAATACCTTCTTCCTTTTCCTAAAGCGACTTCCTACAAATGGGACCTGAGAAACCCGCAATTCCCCCCAATCACCCAGCAACGACGAGATCGCTGCTACAATGGCCTTCGATCCAAGAATTACTAAAATTTTCAGGCGCCGAGAAGATTCGTGACGTTCAAGACCCGACCATCCCAGAACAGAAACGGTGTCCGCTTCGCGTCCACGGGCAAGGTGAAGGTCATGGGGGCATGTTTAATGAGGAATGGGGACAGGTAGGCGTCACCGACATCAGTGGAAATCTCGACTGGAGTCCTGACAAGGTCTGGGATTATGTGAGAGGCTTTAAAGATTATCTGCTCAATGCACAGCCGATTATTTTACCCAAGACTCTGGACAGTATGATTACACAATTCCTTGGTCCATTTATGAAAACACCGCAGGAAGCGATGACCGGAGCAAAGAAAAAACGGTCGATAGCAGGGACCGAACGGCATTGGCAAATTGGGAAACCTAGCATCCCTCGAGATATCTCTAGCGCTCTCGTCTTGCTTGTGCTTGCTCTTGGGGAGATTATCTTCATAGAGGCAAGATACCGGACG